TTCTGTAAAGCTGTTAACATTTTTAGAAAAGGTTTTCAATGGAGCGCTGTTGAGCATCAATTCAAGCTGCCTCTCAAACAGATCGGTTGTTCTGTTTATCTTTTGTTGTAAACTTTTGCATTGGACATTAAGGCTAAGTCTGTACCTTTCTATATGAAGAGACAGATTTCAGTCTATTACTTTGTCTAAACTTATATATAAAAAAATGTCTTTAAACTGCAGAGCACCACATCACAGAATTGTATTTCTCTTCTGAATTCCGCCTGTAATGCTAGTAGTTATATTGAGCTGGCTGGCTGTGACACACTTTACTCTGCTCCTCTCTGTAAATTTCACCTACCCTCAATGCTCACAGTCATATCATGTCTATTATTTTCTGCCTCTCTCTGCCATTCTTTACCAGATTGTCTCATTGCTGCCTGTATATTGATTGTTCTGAAGTCAGTGTGAGCCCCCTTCTTTCCAGCGTTCATATGCTCACCCAGCCCTCACTGGTATTTCAACACACCTTTTAGAATCTACACCATATCTGGCTAAAGATCGGGTTATTAGAGATTTTCCGAGAACGGTATCGCCCAGTTTAGACTACCCCTCTGAAAACCAATTTGCATCGAGTTCGGACCGAGCTTGGATCAGTTAACCGTGCTGAACTTGGTTCTTACGACCATTAACAAACCATGCTAAACATCACGGTTTCTAAAGGGTAGTGTAAATGGGGCTTATCGCTGCAGGCTCAGCAGCAACGCCCCTGTGGGTGGTTGGCCAGTGTGGGTGTGTTGATTGTGCAGACGACTATTGGTTCATTGATTTACCAACCCTGTCCCTAAGCCTAACCTACACAGGAGTATGAATGCCCATGCACGACTGCAGTTATGTGTTACTGGATTTTCCTGAAACACTTTCCCACAATAATCGTGTAAATTCTATTGGGGTATTATTATGTACAAATACTTGTGCCCAGTTCTGACCCAGCTTTTACAGTATCAAAAGATTTTCTGTTCTGTAGTTTCAGTTCTCTCTAACTTTTATTTTCTAAATTTTTAGTTGTTTTAATAAAAAAAACTATGTAATTATTTTGATTACTTAACTATTGATATTTTAAAATTAGAATTGGCTAAAATCATAATTAATTGTATTTCTGGAAGATAAGTCTTATAAGTTAATAAAGTAGTGTTACTTTAAAATATTGTTATGGTTCTCCCCTTTTGGGACTCTGAGTTTTTAGTTTTTAGTTATCAGTTACTCTTTTATGTTGATTTTTGGTTTATTTTCCATTATATTTAAGCTGTCTTTAGAAACTCTCTGTTGCCCCCTTACGCTTGTTTCCTTTTCCCCTTGGCTCTCTTCTAGTTAGTTCCTCACACCTGTTCCATATTCAGTTCATTATCTCATCCTTTGTTCTGCTCCCCTTATAAACACCACCCCCTGAAGTTTTCTGTATTTTTTGGTTCCTTGTATTTTTGTACTTTGGGTTTTTGCCTCAGTTGCCTGAATAAATGTTCAAGACTCCCCTCTGCCTCCTGATCTCTGCATTTGGCTCCTCAAATACCCTCATGCTACCATGACAAACATGGGATAAAGACTATTCAAAATATACATTGGCTTAAGCTTCAAGTGAAAGGTTCTTAACTAATGATTCAAAATTGGGATTCAATTTGTTTGGCCTAAATGTTTGTAAGCCAAAGTTTGAATAGGACGTGACAATAGAGTGTTATTTGAGAAGAATATCCAAAAGAGCACCAACCATTTAAGAACTGCTGGAAGACTCCTGGTACAACCTTAACATAAACTCAACTTTACCACTCTTTTCTAATAGATTAATTCAAACATATGGATGTGATCATTCTCAGATAACAATGTGAGAGGAAAATGATGGCTCTTAAATGCTAGTAACACTATTAACAGAGATTGGTATAATGACTGCTTTGGGAAAAGTCTAATTACCAGTTTTACATACTTTTAGAATATTCACTTTAGTCTTCTTCAATTTCACTTTCGGAATTTGTGTTGTGTCTTATCAACACAGCTCATGGCGTCTGCAGGATTGTGATGACATGCCACCATTTGTTTTCTCCTGAAATTTACTGCATTTTACAAACAACAACCTCTGTGTGATTTCATTACCACAAACTTGAATGCTCTTGAATGATAACCTCTTTTTATTTTTTGCATCTTTTACTGAATATTTGAACACTAATGTGTGTCCAGAAAAGCAGCAAGATTTTAGCCCTGAATGAAAGTGTATTTTGCAGCATTTGAAAGACTGGAGACAATGTTGGCTGTATGATTTGGCACTATGGGTCAAGAATGCTGGCCTCCTGCCAGGCCAAACAAAACGTAATCCTTTCCGCTGGTAAAGCCAGGCGTCCCCTATCTAATCCCATGCTTAGCAGTCTAGTTTTGTGAAGTGCTCACACTGCACTTCCCTCCATGTGCTTCTCCACTGAGTTGGAAAAAAGATGATACTGGTGAGCATGTGCCACCCAGTCATTTTTGTGGGACTTTATATCCCAAACAAGGCTCAAAAAGAAAGGGATAAAAAGAGCAACTATAGTGTAACAAGACTCAGACACAAGCAAAAACTTCTTATTTGACCAAATTCAAAGCAGCGTTGCTCTGCTATAATCATGGCACTTGGTTTTGGCAGTCAAACATATGCTGCTTTTCAAATTTCACTGCTTTAGTTAATATTGTGACAGTTAATGTTTTTTTTAGTTTTTTTTTTTTAGAAAACAGTGTTTAATGAGGAAATGGATTTTAAATAACTCAAATGATAGTTATTCTGTTTTCACAATGCTTAGACTCTGGCATTAAACAATAAGCTAAATTTGCTTCTAATTAACATAATAAACCAAATTCAAGCCTAATGGAATCACTCAACTTAATAAGCAGACTGGTTTCTATAGAAGATTATAAGATAGATGAGAAGTGTTAGCATCCTAATCTAGTTTTACGTATTTTAGGGTACACATTGTGATGTTTCTGAACCAGCTTAACATCCACCATCATTAAAAAAGGGAATAGCAGGATAAAGATGAGACATTTTAGCCATGGTAACATCATTGGTGGGTGAGCTATGATACTGATCAAATGTAATGTGGTATTTTACTACACTCCAAAGCAGGAATATTGGAAAACTATTTGTAGACAGGTGGATGTTTTTCAGTGTCTGACAGGTATGGAGGACATTAAATCATAATCATGACATAATTAAATTAAAAACATAAGTGTTTCTTTATTAACTGAGGTATACTTTAAAAACAGGATCAAACGACTCGGCAATTGACCCGCGTTAAAATCGGCTCGGCTCTGGTCAGCATGCTGTGGGAACACCAAACCAGGTTGACCTGTGACACCATTGAACACAACGTACAGATGTCAACACAACCCGTCAGTCGCTTCTGATCTAACAAGCCGAAACAACTCAGTTGACATTCAATAAACATGGTGCATCACTGGTAAGAGGGATTGGAACAGATAAAAGTGCGAACTAATAAAGAATACTGACTATGCTCTGGCTCGCGTCAATGTTACCCTCTATTATTTACATCACCCAGCGTGATGAATCATCAGATACACAGTGGTGGAGGACAGTGGCCACACAGCTTGCCAGCGGGGGTCAGACTCGGCTTTTAAGTCAATTGGGAAAAGAGGTAAAAGGTGATTGTTAGTTGTTCAACCTGGTTTTGAAAAACCCGGGTTTACAGAAAGTGGCTAAAATGACCTCAGTAGTAAGGAGTCTTTTGCTAAGAACAAAATATCAGACTACTCCCTATTGAGATTTTCAGCTCAATAGGAACTTTAAATATAGGTTTATTTTTATTGTTAAAACACCCAAAAGTATCCATCAAGCTCCATAACCAGGTGTAGAATAAACAGCAGTGTTGCCCCCCGGTTTGGTGCTGGTTAAACAGTATTTTCTTGCACAGAGCCCTTTCTGTTATTGTTTGAGACATCTGGAAAAAAAAATCCTTTTCACATAAGATATAAGAAATGCTGCCACCTGCCATGTCTGCTTATCTGCCAACAGTGAAGAACATTGAACTAATTGTGGGTCTGCTTTCTATCTATAGGAAAGACTAACAGTACCTTTAAAATCCTCCCTAAAAAAACTGCAGTGTATAACATCCAGAGTGAAAGGACAACTCAATGCAAACCTTTATGATGATTTGTATATTTCAAAGCATCATATAGCAACATTTATCCCTGATCAAGGGGCTTAAAGTGGGCTAACAGATAAAAAAAAGATCAAGAAAAGAAAAGTGAGCCAAAATGAATCAGGCTTTGGGGCCAAAATTCTAAAGGAAATGATAGATCACTATAAATAGTGACTTTTTGAGAAAACTATTTAAAAATGTTTTCTTCTGCTGTTTTCTTCTATTTATATAATTCAGTCTTATGTGGAATATTTAATGTATACTTATTTTTACCACTGTCACATTCACTTATCCTTTAGCAATCCCTGCTAATTTCCACAGTCTGTAAAAATTTAAAGCACAATCTTTTAACTTCTGGTTATCTGCACCTTTGCCCAATTAAGTTTAAGTAATTGCAATGCCAAGGTAAATGCTTTCTCTTTGATGGAGTTTGGAAAGGTAATGTGGCATCACACAAGGTGTGTTAGTGTGTGTTAGTCTGCTTAAAAACAATGATGTAGGGAAACAGCCTTGAATTGGAACTGAGAGCTACATGAAGTACATTGTGTGCTTTAAATGATTCCAACCAGTCAGAGTGTCTCCATACTCAAAAATTTGGAATTAAAATAAGGGGGAAATAAATATTTACAGCCTAGAATATTACAGCACAAATACTCCTTCAGGGGTTGTGATCTCAGACAATGCCAGCTGTTCAGCAGCTTTAACCGCATGATAAGAGCTGATAAAAACAGACTCTTATTTAAAAAGGATCTTCTCTGGAATTGCTTTAAACCCTTCTGCTTAAAGCTTGATGATCAAATGCTGTCAGATCTGCACATCTCTCGCCAGAGTGTGGTCACTCACCCCTTTGAAGTTGCTCATAGCCTGGAAGTAGACCAGGTAGCTTTTGCGCGGGTCCAATGGGCTGTTCCAGTAGCCGTTGTATGTGTGGTTGTCTCCCACAGTGAAGGGACTGGCCTCTGGCAGGCTGCTGGGCGGCAGCTCGGCTGTGTAGTAGTGCGGTGTACCCCGGGCCTGTGCTTCACCATGAGACATGGGCAATGGGAAGCACTCCTGAAGTCCAAGCTCCCTCTTTACTTTCTTCACAGTTTCCTCTTCAACCACCACCTGGTATGTACTGGAAACAACGTGGGAATGCAACTTTAATAAACCATGGTATTGAAAGCATACAATATGTTGTTTTGGGGTGATCTCCTCACCTGACCGGTGCTCCTCTGCCCTGTGCAGGGCGCAGCAGCACAGTAATTGTGCTCTCTGTTTCACTCAGGGGTGACGGCATGTCTCCATAATCAAACGTGGGGGCTGAAAACATTCAAAGTGGGGATAGTTTATAAAATCTAGGGTTAAAACATCTAAAGCCTGATTATACTTAAAAACTAGGTTGTCTGTGTAGGTGTCGCAGGGAACAAGGGGTACGTTTACACTGCAGGCCTTGATGCTCAATTCCGATTTTTTTTGTGAAATCTGATTTTTTTTTGCGTTGCCGTTCATATTTCCAAATATATGCGACTTGTATGTGATCTGCTGTGTGAACTGCAGTCATACAACGCAAGTGTCCCGCATGCGCAGTAGAGGATGCAATGACGTCACGGGCCAGTGTGCTCTATGTTTACGGAAGTAAACATGGACGGTAGTGCCGGTGCACATCTAGCGATCTTTTCCAACCATAAAAACTCAATCTTTTAACATGGTTAAACATAAATACTGCTCTCCGCATCATCATCTGACATGGTTGTTGTTTTTCTTGCCGCTTCTGCGTAGCAAGACACAGAATAGCGGCCTTTGTCCAGTATTAATGACGTTCAGGACGGATGAATGCGACCTGGCTGTTCACACACAGGTCGCATTTGAAAAGATCAAATTCGTATCGGATTCAGGACCACATAGCAAAGTGGCCTGGGTTGGATTGGAAAAAATCGGATCTGTGTTGTTCAGACAGCCATGAAAAGATAAGATCTAGGTCGCACATGGGCCAAAAAACTGGATTTGGGTCGCTTCAGGCTGCAGTGTGAAGGTAGCCAAAAAGACGTCCCCGCCCCCTCCGCTGCATCTCTCCCAAATTGTAGCTGACTGCAGACAGTGCCGCAGACAGGAGACCAGCTTGTTTTGTTTTTATGACTGCAATTGCAGAAAACAACTCGTGAAGATTGACCAGCTAAAAGAGTGAGGTGCGCGAGAACGCTGGGACCTTTTTTCTACCTGGATCCCTGCTCTTTTTCGCCCTCATGTCCCTCCGTTGTCAGACAAACTCACCCCCACTTCATCACCGCCTCGGCCGTATCTAGACCCACAGCTAGTTCCTGATTCTCTTGAGCAAAAATCAAAAATGTCTGCGTCAAGCTCACTGCGACACACAGCTGTGCAGCGCATTATTCAATCCATCATTTAAGAATGGCGCAGCTACAAAAGTACAGAGGCATGGTAGTAAATCTAAAGCTAGAGGCTGGGGAAGCAAAGAAGAGGCTCATGGTGAGTCTGGAGGAGCAGCAGAGATCCACGGCTCAAATGAGAGTTTCTGATGACAGCAGCCCTATTAGTCTTGCAGCGACTGGCTAGCTCAAATGGTAAGTCCCCCGTCCTGCAAACGGGACTGTGTTCGCATCCCAGCTGGGGGGAATGAGCAGTGTGGGTCCTTAGGCAAGACCCTTCACTCTAATGCCTGCTTTGGGGAGTGGTGGCCTAGTGATTAGGGCATTGTGCTTGGAATCCTGAGGTTCTGAGTTTGAGCCCCAAACCCACGGACTACCACTCTAGGTCTCTGAGCAAGACCCTTAACCTCCACACTGCTCCCCAGACGCCGCACTATGGCAGCTGACTGGCCCCCAATGGGATGGGTTAAATGCAGAGAGTTCATTTCCTTGCTCTGTACTTGTGACAGTATAATGACAATAAAATTCTGTAAAAAAAAAATAATCAAAAACCTCTTTATTATGGAGTTTAAACACTAAGGCCCCGTCCACATGAAGTCAAACCCTGGCCTAAATTCACTAATTTTTCACCAAACCAGCCTCTCATCCATACGAAGCCGGCGTTTCGGGGGTCTGTAAACGATCTTTTTTTTATTAAGCCTTCAGAGTGGGAAGATTTTGAAACGCCGTTTTCGCGTTTCCATCTTTAAGCTCTAACCGCATTTTTTTTCTAATGGCGCCGTACTGTGTTGAATGGTTGCTGCTCATGCTACTCACCCTGCTGTCGGGCTTACAACAGAATCTTCTTCTTCTGGAATATCTCCAGGAAGAACAGAGCAATATCGACGACATAGTTCAGCACCTGAATTTGACTGAACCGCGAAAATGGACGCGTAGGGCAACCATGTATAAATATTACTGCGCATGCCCAACATTTTGTTGCCTGTTTTTTTAGCGTATTTTTGCTTTGGCACCACAGCGCCACTTACAGGCCTGGCATACATTTTGCAGCGTTTTCATGCATTCGTGTGGTCGATCACATTTATTTTACGTCTCCGTCTTTACGACAAACGTTCTGGAAAATATTAGCGCTTCGTGTTCGTTTTGACTTTGCGTGGATGGGGCCTAAGAAAAGCCTTTTTTAAAAGGAAGTTATACAGAGCTCTGTTTGCTGCAAGTAGGTGGTAGAAGTGTGTCTATTTATATAAATGAAAATAAACATTTGGATTAATTGCAAGATACTATGTAGGCCAGAAAACTAGCAGTGAGCATCACTCTGAACCATACCCACAGAGAACTGTGATGATGATATCATCATGTTGTCGGATGCAGTTCTTTAGCAGGGACAAGGAAACGTTGAAAAAACAATAATAAAAATCCGTTCAAGCCAGCAGAAGATGGCGCAGAGGTTCACCTTCCAGCAAGACTAACCCCTTATATCTGTTTAGATACAATCTCTGCCTAATCTGGTTTTGAGATATTTTTAAAATAATGTCCTAGACCAGTGGTAGCAGACTGCTTACCCCTATTTTACATAAAGCATTTAGCATCACAACCTTTATGTAACAGCTTACACCCACAACCTTATTTTGAACACAATACTTGAATTCCCTTTCCAGTTCTCTTGGACACAACGCCAATTAACAATCACAGCAATGAGGCTAAATTGAATGCCTTTCTCATTGGAAGGGATATGGCTAAAGTTGTGCTCCTCCCCAGAGATGTTGTGGCACATTTCTCTTCAATATCAGCAGTCAATTAGCAAAGGGGAAGCAGAGCAAACTATTCATGAGGCATAGATAATTATCGAATTAAAAAGCAGTTTGCTAATACTGCAGCAGAATAGACCTGACATCAATTATGGGTGGAGGCTTTAAAGAATACCGGCTGTGCTTTTTCTGATGTTAACAGAGCACGGCAGTAAAAAACAGTTTGAAGCCTGCTGCCAGGTCCAGTCTGTCTGAGGGACATTACTGCATCAGCCACAGCGACGCATCCACTGAATGTATAAGGGCATAGGCGAATGAGGAAATGTGTGCAGTCAGGTACTCTGTGGTGGGTGTTGTTTAAAGATGCTGACAGTAGTGGCTGTTGAAGGTGTTCAGTGTTTGCTAGCTGTCAGCGCAGATTTAGGAGACGTTCAGCGTAAGTGAATGTTCTGCACTGTGGGCCGCTGAAGCAAGAAGATGATGATCTGCAAAGACTTCTGAACTGTATCTGTAGTCATGGCTTGATGCCAGAAGTCTGTCTCATAAGAAGCCAATAGGCCAAAATGGTGAGTTTAATCTATTATACGTACAGAGCCTAAACCTTCCTGAAAAGATATATGGGCTAAAAATAAGGATAATTTATTAGCAAAAGAGGAGCAGAGCTCCACTGGGTTGTAATCCCACCCCTTACCAAAAGAAAAAAGCATAATAAAAAAAAGGCTGAATTTTTACCACACATAATAAGCTCAGAGACTCCTGGAAGTGACATTCAAGTCTCAGGGATTTACTACATTTCTCTTTATATACTACACACAGACCTTTTCCCTATGTGATGTTTCTCTGCCTTCTATGAGTTAATTTATATCCTGTGGACTGTGAGGTGACAGCACCCGGGAAGTTTGGAAGAGCACTGAAATATGGCTCTCCCACAGTATCAGCTTTTGCGTCAGTGAAGGAAAAACATTATAGTCGAAAGAAAACAATGCCAAAATCCATATCGTAGCATATACAGTGGCTGAAGTCTTTGTTGAGTATAAACAATCTGTGGATGAAAGATAGATTTTCCTCATGCTTCTAAAACACAAGCTATTAAGAAGGTGATTACCAGAGAATTACCAATAATGGTCACCAGGGGCATAGCTGATAGAACAAGACTGATTCAACTGCACAGCTTGCTAGCCGCTTTCCAGGCATGACTATCCCCCAACAAGCACACAAATCCAAAAAGTAAAAGGCTCCTCACGGTGTCATACCAAGGCCTCAAAAACAAACCAAACCAAAACATTGCACAATCAATTATTTCTTATGTATTTAAAGGAACTTTCTTTCGTGAATTATTCCTCTGTAAAAAGGCTCATTATTCCAGGTATGACATTACATGGGTACAGGGGTAAAGCTTGAACTAATGTACATAGGCGTTAGTCTTCAAAGCTGCCTCCAGAGGTATGAATCCTGCCCCATTACCTCTGCCGCAGGTCCTCCTAGTGCCAAAAAATCTTTAAAAAAAGGTCTGCCTTCAGAATTTTACAAGCAATTCCACCCATGTGCTCACATCTTGTCATTTACTCCTCGTATTCCAAATCAATACAGTAAATAGGCTATTTTTTGACCCATGGGCTTAATACCATAACTAATCACTTTAATTCCTTTGGTATTTTGGTATTTTTTTATGAGGAGCTGAATAATGATAAAAGGCTAAAGACTTTAATCTTATTATTGCATTTTTTTTTTACAGATTTCTAAAATACATCCTAATTGTCTACTTATCCAATTCCCTTGAGTGATGCATAAAGACCTGACTTCTTTATTTTAAGCATAAAACCATATTTACTAACATTAAACAAAGCTAAAATATTTCTTGTAATTTCTTATAATTGGCGATATTAGTGTAATTGGTGTTTCACCTGAGATGTTAGTGGTGATTTCTGTGAGGGCTGTTTGTCCAAAGCCCTTTGCTGTACGCGCCCGGACAGAGATCAGGTATGTTGTTCCAGGGTGGAGGTTAGAGAACATATGGTACGTCTCGTTTTTGAGCTTAGACACCGTTCTTCTAGGACCTGGTACATTGATGCCTGGATCCGACGACTCAATGCTCTGGTAGCTGATCTGTTGAGGTGAAAAAACAAGAGAAAGTTTAAAATATTGAGATAGGAGCGAGTGATGTAGATTCTGAGTTGTGTTTACAGACTTTTGCAGATTTCATGTAAGACCATTAACTCAGCCCTCGGAAGGTTTTATTGAAGTTACTCACTATGATTCACTCAATTAAAAAATAAATGAGCTTCTTAAATGGTTCTGCTGATTACACCGGTGCAGTCTGAAATTTCACATGAATAAGGCCTAATTGACATTGCCACTGTTGAGTCGCATTAGTTTAAGCAATGTGGGCTTTCTTCAAAAAACTAATGTGAACAATGAGTGATTGCCTGCCTAAGTAGCACATTATTGAGGTCAAAAGCTCTGGACACCACACATTAAAAAGTAGACTCAAGTGTTTAAATCACTGCTGGTAAGTGTTTATGACATCGATTAACTCTTGTTAACAGAATGCCACAAGTCAGCGTCCTTAAAAAGTGAAATTCTGTAGTTTTTCTTCAAGAGGCTTCTTGCCTTTCATGCACCTGGTGGAGAGCTTCCACTTGTACTGTTTGAAAGACAAGAGCTGACTGATGTGACCCGCCTGCATTCAGAGTGAGGATATTAGGACGTATATCAAAGCCTCTAAAGGAATAAATGCAGGAAAGCATTATGAATGTGAATGCCTAGACTGCACACTGAGGGTATCTCTCTAACTCTGTCATCCTCACATTGTGCCTTCTTGTTGTTACAATATAGTAATTTACTTTTAAGTAACAAAAACAAAAAGTGACAGAAGATGATGGCAAGAATATTAAGGAGGATTTGCAGAACTGCTGTACAGTTCATGGCATTTAGACCATGTGGTCAATAAATCAGTCGTTGAGTAATGAAGATGATATCTTTGTCTTTCTTTCTCTGTCAGTCCATGGTCATCATCACAAGTAAACACAAAAATCAGGTACAGCATCCCCTTTATTTGTCAGCCTAGAGGTCTGGTTCAATAAAGTCCTTGCACAAAAGGTCAAGAAAGGAAGCATTAATCCAAGGATCTGTAGGAAGACCTACTGAAAAAGAGAGAGTGTACAGTAAATACAAAATCATTATCCAGCTAAATAGAGGCCCCACAGCTAAAACAAATGTATGTGAGTTATTGATTAAAAGTTCCAGCCTCGGTTCCAATGGGACAAGTGCAATGTTAAGTCCAAGCCTGTGTGCAAGGTCAGTGAATGTATCAAGCCCTCTCTGCTATTTTTGTTAGTAGGGACACATTGGGCTGTGCACTGAAATGCGCTACAGAGCAGGATTTTTTTTTTATTAAGCACATCCCATGATTTTGCTTTGTGTCAGTGATACTGAAAATGGCTCAGCAAATGGACAGTGAGGTTTTTTTTTCCTAGCAGTGAAACAAAAATACCACAAGAACTGCCACATTTCAGTTTCTAGGAAATAAAATATATTTTGGAGTGCTGCAGAAGATGATTCTGCCCAATTATGAACTCCTGTGAGCAAAGAAGTGGAGATTTGGATAAGATTTTCAGAATATTTACTTTTGAGAGTCAGAAGTAAGATTCAGAAATTGCCAAACTGCCTCTGCAATATACTGTACCTGCAACTACTGGAAAATACTACTTAGAAAAACTGCCCCTCACTTTTGTCTTTTTATAGAAACCCAAAGTTTATCCCTTTGTTTGCACCTCTATGTCTGTTGGACATACTTGACTTGGTTGATCAACTGATTTTATTTTTTATCAGCACTGAGTGGTGACTAATCAAAGTTGCTTTCATTGTTAGCAGCTAACATAGGAGCAGTGCTTGTCATCCTGGGAAGCAATGTGTCTACATCACACTGGAAAAAGGATCTAGAAATAAGTAAAAATGTTTTTCCTTCCCTTAATTTGAGTAGGTAAATGAGATAGTTTGCCAATGGAATGAGTATTTTTACCCTTGAATTAAGATAATTGGATAATATGCACTTTAAGTACGACAATGCCATTATGTTTTCTTATTTTAGGTGTAAAATGTCATGTTCCATTGGCAAGGTGTCTCTTTTACCTCCCCAATCCAAGAACAAATGCACTTATTTTAGGGAACAATGACTTATCTAGATTTCGATTTTTTTCCAGTGCAGTGGCTAAGTTGGACTTTCAAAATAAAACAAAATAGAAGAACTTTTCACACAAAAAAAAGTCTAGGTTTAATGCTTCAGAGACAGGGCTCTAAATCACACATAAACATGAATCTTTTTCATTTGTTGCAGTGAAATAAAATAAAAACAAAAATATTACAATTTACTATATATCAAGTGCAATAAACACATTTCTATTTAGGGAGTCATTTGTTTTATCATGTAAAAAAGATGCCCAATGTACATCAATGTACATCTGTGCTGCTCAGTGAAGTGTGTAAGTCAAGTTAGCAGAGGTGTCTCCATGGGCTCACCTCATACTGCGTAATTAGGCCATTGGGCTCAACAGGCTCCTCCCACTTCAGGAAGATCATGTCATCAAGAGGGGTGAAGGTGAGCGACTCTGGTGCTATGCCTCCGGGAACTATGAGAAATTGTCAGAGCAAACATTTGTCAGGGAAATTGAAGTGCTGATCCCACGATGAGCCTGTCGTGTCAATATCACCGGAGTGAATGTCACAGTGGCTCAGAACAAAGAGCCACATGAGAAACTCACTTCCAGAGAGCAGACAGGCAGAGAAGATCAGATAAGGATACTTTTAATATATAAACTGCATGAATGATATATTTTCAACACACACTAGAGAAAACCTTCAACAAAATATTATAATTTCATACCCTTTTCACTTTAAGTTGAAATATATATATGAATATATGAGCTGCCTGCTCAGAAATAAGTTTCTGAGAGGAATACGAACGACTGAATATTTAAGTTGAAGCAGTTTTTGGGCCATAGAGTTGAAGGCTGTGTCCTCAGAGTCTGTCTACAGAGGAAGACTAGTAGATTCAGGCCTGAGGCTAAAGCAAGAGTCAAACAGCTGAGCTGTCTCTTTGAATTCAGATAATCCACATGACAAATTTGTTTACTTAGACTTTGAAAAGGAGCTGTTATAATTGGCATACTCTATATTTAAATAGGCATATGTATCTTTATCCAAACAGGTAAACGAAACATTTCTTGGTTTACAAGTTTATGTTTTTTTCTTCATTCTGTTTATCTTTACCTCATTGTAAGAAATCAGGTTTGGTTGGATTTTCTTTCATGTGAGAATTGATTTTTCTCTCCAATACCAAGGGAACAACGTGCCACCACGGTTAAAAAATAGAAGATAAGACGCATGAAATTCTTTCTCAAGACTCCTTATTTTCTCTCTTATGTCTTAGTCTGAAAATAAACTTATTTTGTGATGCTTCAACAGAATCAATCAGATCAGGCAGATGGATAACATCACCGCTGTACTAAACTGTTGGAGAACTGTTTTATTCTAAAATACGCTGAGCTGAAAAATAACTGATTGATGTATGAACCCCTTGTTTTTTCTGTTTTATTCATTTGGAGTAACAGATTTATGTCCACAGCAACACATTTGATTTAAAAGAGGTTCTGAAGAACTACAGACATTTAAAGTTGGGCATTTCAGACCTGGAAAATCTCAGTGACATTTACTGGAAGATTAAAACACATTAAAACAACAAAAGTCTTATGCTTCATTTAACAAATAGACTAAATTATGTCCTTTGGGAAAACATCTGGTTTTCAAAATAATTAAACCATACCATGTGCTGCAAAAGATACCTCATGCCTTTTTTCTGAGATAGGATATTCTAAAACCTATCTTGTACTTTGCTCCAAAAATAAATGTTTTGGTACTGCCCATGTAAAAAAGAATATCTTCACACTGCACACAAATGTGGCCCAAATCTTTTTTTTTTTTTTTTTGCCCTGAAGTGATTCAGGTAAGATTCTTTCGTGAAAGTGTGAACAGGCCAAGTCACATGTAATCCATTTTGTTGAGCTCTAGTTAAGCTCTCTAAGGCTACGTTCACACTGCAGGCCTTGATGCTCAATTCCAATTTTTTTGTGAAATCCGATTTGTTGGCGTTGCCGTTCATATTTCCAAATACATGTGACTTGTATGTGATCTCCTGTGTGAACTGCATTCATACAGCTTAAGCGTCCCGCATGCACAGTAGAGGACACAATGACGTCACAACCCAGCGTGCTTCGTGTTTACGGAAGTAAACATGGATGTAGTGCTTGAGCGCATCTAGTGATCTTTCCAAATCTTAAAACCTCAATCTTTTCAAGATGGTTAATAAAGAAATTGCTCTCCGCATCATCGTCCGCCATGGTGTTTGTTTTTCTTGCCGCTTCTGTGTAGTAAGGAGCAGAATAGTGACCTATGTCGGTTACTAATGGCGTTCAGGTCGGACGAATGCGACCTGATCGCATTTGAAAAGATCAGATTCATATCGGATTCAGGACCCCATGGCCAAGTGGCATGAGTAGGATTGGAAAAAATCGGATCTGTGTTGTTCAGACTGCCATGAAAAGATATAGGATTTGGGTAACTTCAGGCTGCAGTGTGAACGTAGCCTTACTCCTCATTTTACTTGTTTTACATTGTCAGCTGTAACACCCAACAACTTCCACTGCTTAAACAACTTTATATCCATCCATAGACACTGACTTCACAGGCTGTCCTCTTGAAAAGGTCTGTCTGAAACGTCTTGTTACAGTTTTTCTGCACATGAGGGTCACTTAAGGGCCACAGACCTAATGCACTATATGAAATTTCCAAAAATAAAAAAAAACGTAAAAGGTTTTGCTTTAAAACATAAAATACTTTACACTACTAAAGCATAAATACATAATATGTATATTTGAGACCTTCAAAGTGTTGGTGCTCTGGGCTACAGGACTTGCTAGAATAGCCTTGCCTATTGTGCAATTAATGATCATGTACCATGATATTAAACAAATGCTCTCAAAGGGAGGCAATGTTAAACCGTTATTGCTTTCAATGTTAAAATAAAAACATGTTGTCATAGGTTATTTGCAATCAAACAAACTTAATGTAAAACATACCTGCACAGCTTTAGGCTCCAAACATGCTGGCCAAACTGAAACTTTTTTAAATCTTTCCAAGTATCTACAGTTTAACCCCTATGAAGTACTTACTGTCCTCCTCAGTCTGAAAAGTGACCTCTCTGCTTTCCTTCTTCCCCTCTGGATTTGCCAGTGACAGCCGAACGTGAATGCTGTGGTATGGTGGAAGGTCACGAAGCGTAAAGCGTGAGGCGTTGTGCTCCACTGCCAAGCACTCACGGACGGTGGTGTTGTGGCCTCCACCGCCTCCCGCCATGGTATAGCGGTAGCACAGGGACACTGAGTAGGTGTGGCAGCGTGTCAGGTTGAACGCCAGATTCTCCCACTGCAGGGACAGTTGCCTGGACTGGATATCTGTGGCGATGAGGCCTTGCAGCGGACGCATGGGCTCTGGGAGAAATAAAAGAACAAAATGAAGAAACAGTAAGTAGGCAAAAATGTTCTGAAATCTTGCTGGGTTGAGGAAATAAAAACAAAATCTAAATGACTAATATTCATGGACCACCTCAACAGTTTTTCATTGCAGTTTCTCTCCTCCATGCTGCCATATTGCCCGGCCGCCACATAGAGGTCAATTTGCTGCCAGCACAGCACACCCACATCCCTGATGGCAGAGCAGAAATCACGCCAATTGCTCTAATTAATAGGACAGGCTGAGTTGCTGTCATTCGCCCACCAGTTCCCTCCTCTGTGCCGCAGAGTAAGTTTACTCTTCACTAGCTGTAACTGTCTGCCCGGAGGTTTAATCCCCCATCGCGCCAAAACTGCCAGAGTTACGCAAGGACGTTTACATGCTCCTGGTCACTTTTACTGCTCGGTCATGGTATATTTTTAGACGTTCATTCTGGTCACAGAGGAGTTAAACTGCACTTTCTTTCACTCAGACTAAAGAGACAAGAGCTCTGTCTTTAATATTCCCCTTGCCACCCTCCATGGGAGATAGAGAAAGCCTCTATGCACAGAGGCACAGATCAGTCTGTGTTTGGGAAGACGTCTAAGGCAAAAGAGATGCAAAGTTGAGCCAAGGACACCGTCCTTATCAATTGAGGCCTTTATCAACAGCTGTTATTGACCCAAACAATGTCCTTTTGTTGAGCAATATGCTACACAACCTAGTGTATGACTTTATCTGTTACACAGCATTTTCACCAATGGGTTGAGGTTGGATTAAAAGGACATTAGATATAAGGGAGACATCAGAGGACTTTGCAATTACTTACTTAATTCTTAATTTCTCTGCTAACTAACTAGAGTGTAGATTAGAACAAGGAAATTAAAGACAACAGCTTTTGCAACATAAAGCAGAAACCAAAACATTAAACTAAGGGCTATGGTTAAAATGGGATGTTTATGTAGACTGTATTAATAGAAAGGCAAACTTTAGTTTTCACTGTTTTCACCATTATTTATTTATCTCTGACTCAAATCAGACTTGCTGTTCAAGGTCCATTTTGACTTCTAAAATATTTCTTCTTGCAAAATACCAGACTAATGAGGGAATTATTATTATTATTATTTTTCTAATTACTTCCTTTAAAGTGACTTTAGGATGGCCCCTGGTTGACCTTATTGCTGGAATGAAACAGGGTCTGCTTTACATGAAATGTGTGTATGAATCCCAGCTCAAAAAGAAAACAACTTTTTAAGATGCTGGCTGATGCTCAGGAGAGTGCCATTATCCACAGTTAAACCAGTCCTCTATTGATATGGTCTAAAGGGCCAATCAGAAAGGAAGAAGATATTACCCCAAAAACAACACAAAATGCAAAATAAAGATTTTCAAATATACTCAGGGGCATTACCTATTAACCTTACAAATTCCTATGGTCTGATGAAACCAATATGGGAGTGCTTGGTTGAAATGACCATTGCTGCTCACTCACTCCATCCATCCATTCATCAATCCTCATCTGCTTATTCGTCAGTGTGACGGAGGCACTGTTGTCTATCTGCAGCAGTCTATGGGCGAAAGGTGCGGTACCCCATGCAAAGGTCATAAGTCTTTCTCAGACCATAGAGATGGCAACTCCTAGAGGGGATAGCAATGGTCTCAGTTTGAATAACAATCCAAACTGAAGTACTGGGATGCCACCGTCTAGATGTAAGAATTTTTTTTTTCAGGGAACGGCCCAAAAGAACTCTACCATCCATCCATTTTCCGTCATGCTTGTCCCACTAGGGGTGCTGGTGCCTATCTCCCGAGAGAAAGGGTACAACCTGGACAGGTGTCCAGTCCATTGCAAGGCAGCAACCATTCATGCACACACTCACACTAAAGCAGAATTTAGAGAAGCCAATTAAACAAAAAGTAATGTTTTTGGACTGTGGGAGAAAGCTGGAATATCCGGAGAGAACCTATGCATGCTCAGGGAGCACACGCAAACTCCATGCAGAGAGACCTCGGGCCAGTAATTGAACCCGGAACATTCTTGCTGCAAAGCGGCAGTGCTACCTACTGCTCCACTGAGCAGCCCAGTGAACTTTTCCAAATAAATAAAAATATGTTGAAATGCTGAAGTCAAACGTTTGACCAACATCACAAAAAACCATTCTGCTAAATACTTACAAAATGGAATGAGCCTTTTCTTTGCTATCAAAGCAAGTCTAGATGTAGTTGAGATATCTGTTGAGGATTTTTAATGCATAACACATTAGCACATAACATTTAGCAGTCTGGCTAATACCTAAAACTAACTTGCGAGTTAAAAGAATTAAGATTTCTTTCTTAAATACTATATATCTGAATAGATTGTGAATAAAGTCTATAAATATATACATACATTATAGACTTTCAAGATGTATATTAAAGAAAAGTGCTACTTAATTTACCATCTTTTTGATTTAGAAAAACAAAACAATAAGTTTGTCTTTTATACGGCCTTGAACAAATTAATGGTTAAAAATCGGAGACATTATTCTGGCATTTAAGGACTAGAACTTATTTTCTGTGAAAAAAAAAAAGTTTCCTGGTTTAATATCAAAACTAGGCTATCTATCTTAACAAACACGGTATTTAAATCTCTGTTTTTTTAACTTTCCTTTTTCAGATCTTCTTTCATTTCATAAGAGACAACAATATTATCAATTTCGCCATCCACCTATTACTTTCTTCCTTAGAGCACTTGAGATTTACTGACAATCTACAATGAAGGACTCTGCACTCGTCAGCTCTCCCTTTTAATTTGCTGTCAGAGATCTCACTCTAGATGAAAATATTAGCTGAGCGTTGATCTGGCCCTTATCTGGATTAATGTGATGGTTGATGAATGAGTAGGCACAGTAATCACAAAGTGGTGGACTGCGTTGCACCCGCTGCGAGATGTAAATGCACCATTGTTCATTGTCTTAATGCTGGAGTTGATAGTCTGCACAGTTTGAGGGCTAAATAAAGAGAGGCATTTAACTGCTGAGTTGATGAAGCACTATCAAAGGGGCCACAGTGTGCTCATTATGGAGCTTCTGAAAGTGGACATTTGTGCCAACTTTTTCTCCTTTGCCTCCTCTTATTTGTCTGTGTCCCACAGGGAGTCGTTCTGTGGCAGCCTGTGGCAAAGGATCTGCAGCTGCTCAAATGTGGCTAAAGGTGTGAGCATTGCATCCATGCAACAAGTGGTCGCAAAGATCACGAGTTATATCTTGAAACCCTCTGTGTTGTGCTCTAAACAGCTTTGCAGAGCATAGTTACTATGAGCCACTTTTGCAAACTATTTCTTGAAAGATTTCTACACATCTGCCTGTATATTTTTAAGGCATGTGTGGTTTCTATCAAGACCAATCCAAACTATTATTTGTCTCACATATCTACACATCTGTTATAGTTTACGAAGCCGCTGTATAAAAACAAACAAAAAACCTTTTACCATCTTGTTTAACACTCGTAACTCGAAATCTAATTATTCACTGGCACACCTAGGAAATATCTGTAAAAAGACTAAAAATAAATGCATTTGTACTACTGCGGCAAAGCCTCTCTATAAATAGCAATTAGCAATAGTTTAGTTCATAAGAATCTGTTTCCAACAAAATCCATTGTGGCTCAAAAAAATGTACCTAAAACAATCCCTTTTTACAAACATGTAACCAATGTTTTGGTTGCTTGAAGTTAACAAGAGTTTTAAAGAACTTCAAAACAGTAAGCTATGACTGTTTCCCTGAAATTCACATGGGAAACCAAAAGGGGGCATTCCTTTGAACCCCTAGATATAAATCTGACTCATATTTATGCTGATCAAAATGAAGGTAAAAGTCTCCAAAACTTATAAATAGGAAACAGGACAAAACCAAAGCAGCCATACTTTTTTATTTGCTGTCTGCTATCACAAAGTAATAGACATGTAGAATTTGATGGATTCTGGAACTTTAACAGTGTGCTTTAATCCAATGAGACTAAGAGCAAGCTGTTCAGCAAGAAATACTCGAAAAGCACACTGTTATATATGGTGGAGGACCTGTAATGCTGAGGGACTGTTTTGTCTTCCAAAGACCCTGGGAATCGTGTCACAAAGGATAGGGTTGCGAAGTCCTTGAAACACCAGATTATTATTGAAAAGTCGGTGGTTCCTAAAGGAAATAGAAAATGGATTATTTCTAGTTCTCTAAATAGAAAAACATGTCCAGTTTAACACAGGAAATACTCCAATCTAACCTGATTCATGCTTCCCCTGGTGCTTAATCCCTGAGCAAAAACTGTGGGCTGATCTACAGAGTAGAGAGACTAGACAATCTAGAGAGATATAGTGCAAAGTCAATTATTCCATTTCTGTGTATGTTCCAACCATGTCAATCATTCTAAGAGAAGATAATATGGATTTCTATTATCAGGAGTTGAAGAAAGTAAAGTACTTGTAACAGAGGTGCCAAGCACTGCATCTGGTAGTGCAGTAAAGAACATGCCTTCCAGCTAAGGCAGAAAAGGTTACACGTACTGTACTCTTGTTGATCCAGTAGTTCAAACAAACCAGCTGAACGCAGCTGAAAACAGCCTAGGTCTATCTCTATTGTGTAGACATGGTTAACATAACTCATTATTTATATGTTACATTCTACTGCTATAAACAAAACATATCTGATTATGAAATTGTACTCAAGCGGTAAGTATACAAGCTAATACGATTATCTCTAAGATATTGTCACTACAACCTCTATGAAGATGTGAACATCTGTCCACAATGAAGCTAAGGCAAATAGGGTAGATGGTTAGACTGGAGGGTATGCAGCAATCTGATAATCCGATGGGATGTACTGGAGCATTACTGATGGTATCACATAAAATAGATTAAAATATAAAAGACTTGTCAGGACTAGCTTAGAACTTATGTTCCTTTTGAGATGACTTTCACCCTGGATTCTTCTCCTTTTACCAGACCGAGAGGAGTACGGCCAAAGCCTTT